CACTGACTGCCAGGGCCCTTTGGTGGAGGAAACAACAAACAAGGGAAAAGGGACAGTAGCGGTCCCCTGCACTTTCAAATTCCCTGTACCTGGTGCTTCCTGCACACACCCTGGAGCCCATGGAGACATCTGGCTCTGGGTCTGCTCCCTGGGGCTCTGGGGCCTCTGGCTCTTCCTGGAAAGAGGCAGCCAGTGGCTACACGCAGCTAGCATCAACCAAGCCGGAGGAGGGAGATGTCCTGCGTCTTGGGGGTTGTGCTAGGACTTCTCACAACACTTTCCACTCAGAGCCACTTCCACACCTTCGCACATCTCCCTTTCCCCACAGCACACTCTTTTCCCGAGGAAAGCTTGGGGTCTTCCTGCAAGGAGAGGAGTCAGGGGAATGCTAACTCCACCAAGGCACGATGACCCCTCTGTACTGCAGTTCCCCTGGAGGTGCGGGCGCAGCATGGAGAGCAGAGCCAGGGTGCCATTCTGCAGCACCTCTGGGCCTTCCTCTCCCGCTCCACAAGCCTTCTCCTGCTCTGTCGAGGGTAGACAATGGCTGCAGAGGGGGAGAGAAGGACCTAGAAATAAGGCCTTTCTCTCCAGGGATCAGCTCTCTTGTGGCCGTCCAGCCATCCTGCTGCTTGCCCACGAGAGCCACTGTCGCCCCTATCTTGCTTCTCCCGCCTTGGGGTGCCTGTGCCTTCGAGCAGCCCCCGCCCTGCCGCCTCTTACCATCTCTGTTGGTGTCCATCTGGCGGAAGATCTTGTCTGTCCTTTTCTCTGGGGTGGACTCATCCTCCGGCATTCTCATGACAGAGGAAACCATCTTATAGATTGCCTGCGGACAGAAGCCACAGGGCTATCAGACAAACATGTGCTCGGCACAAAATAGCCCTATTCTCGGACCTCTCCGGTCCAGGAGTGAAGACAATGCTTCCCGTCCCCACGGAAGGCCAGTCCTGTTCCCGCCGAAGGGTCGCTGTGGTCCATAATCACGGGGGAGGGAAGCCAGGTCAGCAGTTAGCCAGCACCTTCCCAAAGACCATCACCCTCCTGTGACTCCGGCTCTCATGTGCAGACCAGGCCCCAGCGGCCCTGGGATTTTATTTAAATGAGAGGCAGGAGAGTCTGCATTTCTAACCAGACATCACGTTTGGGAGGAAGGATGGAGACGGCGTTCCAGAATCGATGGGCAATCTTCCTGAGGCTGCGAGCCTTTCATACAGTTCCTCAAGTGGTGGTGACCCCCAACCGTCAAATTATTTTCTTTTCTACTGCATCACTGTCATGTTATTACTGTTAGGAACCTGATAGGCAGCATGTATTTTCATTGTGACAAACTGAACATAATGAAAGCATAGTGATTCATCACAAAAACCATGTCATTATATAGTATGAAATATTGATTTCTAATGACAAAGAAGTGAAATTTTGTCTTGAAGCCTGGTGTAGCATGGGTAATAGTCTTCACGCCGGGTATTCGGATGTGGGTGTATCTGCAGGTGGGTGGATTTGCCTGGAGACGGATAGAGGAGCGGTGTCTCGGTTCCTAAGACCATCGGAAATATGTGTTTTCCGATGGTGTTAGGCAACCCCTGTGTAAGGGTCGTCCGACCCCCAAAGGGATCTCTACCCACAGGTTGAGAACCACTGACTTAGGCCCTTCAAGGACAGATACACCTGCCAGCGTGTATAAAGGCCTATTCATGTGAAATCTCTTAACAATTCCGAACCTGTCAGGAGCTCTGGCCTTGCACCTGAGAAGCCATGAGCACGTGCCCGTGGACCACTCCAGACTAGGCCAGGGGCTCATGGGTTCCGACAGTGTTTGCAGAATGCCTGCTTCGCTTACTCCCTCCCTCATGCCCATGCCCTCATCCACTCACTCTGTGTCCACCATATGTTGAGCAAGTGACCAACGGACACCAAGGATGAGGACAGACCCAACCCTTGCCCTGAGGGGACTGAATCGTGAAAAGACGGTAGACAGCCGTTATTAAAATAATTGGACAAATGCATGTAAAACCATTACTGAGCCAAGTGCAACCAAGGAGGGCATGGGCAATGATATAATAGGGGAAGGGGCCCTTGTGGTGCAATGGTGAAGCAGTTAGTTGCGAACAGAAAGGCTGCACCTGGAAGCCATCAGCCTGGCCGTGGGAGAAAAGCTTTGGAAATGTGCGACCGGAAAGGGAAAGGTTCACAGCCTGGAGCGGGAGGGGGGGCGGTGGGGTGCGTGGGTGGGTAGGGGTGGATGGGGGGCGGGGGCAGGCCAACCTTTTCCTAGAGCGTTGCAATGAGTCAGAATCCACTCGGTGACAGGCTACAACAAAGCCAGTTGGAAGACAAGCAGACTTCCTTGAAGAGTGATGGTTGAGCAGCAGGCCTATGCAGGACGTTACATGGCTTAAAGCAGAGACAGGCGCAGGAAGTGCGTGTGCAGAAACTGCGGGGTGGAGGGAAGGGCACCCAGGCTGAGAGAGGGGAGGGGGGCGGTGGCATGAGCTGTGGCTTTCACGTAGGCAGCAACTGGCTACCAAGGGCCTTGTGGGCCATTTGAAAGTATCCGTGTACATCCCAAACTGCGGAGAGATAGCAGTGATCCCGCATTTGCTTTCCTAGCAGCACCTACTGCCCATAGCCATCTCGCCTGCCCCATTTGCAGGTAACGTGTTAGCGAATTAAAAAGAACTATCACTCATCATGTATTCAGCAATGGGTTATTAAATATTTGCTCTGCGATAACATTCCTTCCTGGTATGGAGACAGATCTGCTTCCTCGTCTTTTTCTCTTGCTCTAATCATTCTAACCAAGAATGTGGGACACATCAAATAGAAAGCAAAATGCACCCCCTTTTTTTTAGGAAAGCTGTTTAAGTGGGTGCCATCCTGGTGCCACTGTGATGAGGTGCTCAGCTTCTGAGAGGCCATTGGTTCCAACCCACTAGGCACTCTCCAGGAAAGAGATGAGGCCGTCTGCTTCCTTCAGGTGCACGAGATGGGGCAGTCTGGCTCTGTCCTGAAGTGAGTCAGCGGGGACTCAAAGACGATAATCCTTCTGTCACAGTTTAGTCAGTGGGAGGAAGCCCTCATCCAGACTCCCCCTGGATCCCACCGTAGTGAGTGAATCAGGGATTGCAACCCATTCTTCTGGAGTGCTGGGCCTCATGAAACCCTTCTTACAATTCTGATAAGAAGTCAACGGTATAATCTAGAAGGTATTCCTCCCATCTCTTTGTTGAACAAATAGACAAAAACATCAAGCAACAGATAAAATGTCTGTTAGCAAAGGAGTCACTTGTACTCCCCTTGAAGTCTGGACGAGTTCCAGTGCCTATGCATTGGGCTGTGATCCCCAAGGTCAGCAGTTCAAAACCACCAGCAGCTCCTTGGGACAAAGACAGGGCTTTGTACTCTTGTAAACAATAACAATCTTGGAAACCCACAGGGGACATTCTACCCAGTCTCACAGAGTCACCATGAGTCGGCATCAACTCGACGGCAGTGAAATTATGCTAAAAGAGCAGATCTGAGGCAGAGAAAGGCAAAAGCAGTTGTCCTGGAGTTGATTCCAATGCATGGTGTATCCGAGTGGAACTGTAGCCCATAGGGTTTTCCAGGCTGAGATTTTGGATATAGACCACCAGGCCTTCCTCCCAAGGCACCTCTGGGTGAACTCCAAGCTTAAACCAAGGGCAGCAGAGCACCTTCGCCACCAGCAGCATCTCAGGACTTCCACAGAAAGATGAGGGCAGGATCCCAACAAAAACACAAGTGTGATCATGACCAACACGGAAGGCAGGTTGCCCTGATGGTTGCTAGGTTCCGTTGGGCTGATTCCAACTCATCTTGACCCCATGAAACAGGAGAATGGAAGCAGCTGACTACGTCTTTCCTACTGCTAAGCTACCGGGTGTGTTCAAACTGCCCACCTTTCGGTTTAGCAGATGAGCACTGACGCTCGGGGAAGCGTAGGAGACTTAGGACAGGAGCCGTCTTGCAAGCCGGGGCTCTGGGATGACTTGGGGAGGAGTGGGAAGAAGGCACCCGGTCTGAGTGCATTGTGAGGCTGGGGAGCAAGTGAAGGGTTTTAAAAAACCCTTCTGTTACGCAGTCCACACACATCTATTTAGACTGTGTATCAGTTCAGAGAGGGCTTACTGGAGTTTCATAGCCCCAAGTCTATGACGTGGGTGGAACTAGGGCCGTGAGCAACGAGCTGAGGTGACAAGTCCCAGGGGTGATGAGTCCCAGGGGTCACCAGCAGGGAGAGTGGTGGAATGTTTTGCAAAACTAAATCTGCACATTTGGGGAACTGTCCCTCTGCTCCCCTCCATGGCATCAGCAGCCGAGAAGTGGTTGTATTCAAACCTCAAAGCCTGGGACTCCACAGCAAAGGACTAGGAGGGACACCAGCCCAGACGGCAATCTGAAACGAATCATGTCTGTGACTAACTCCAGCTCTCCCCCTCACCTCTCACCCGCCCGTTCCCTCACCTTACCCCCCACCCCCCAGCAGTTTAATAGGATCAAACTGTGAAGAGGCCAAGTTTGTGAAGAGGCCAAGCTACTTCCTTGCTTTATTTTTAGCCATGTCAGTGAAAGGCCTTGGAGGGCCATCCTGTTTTTAATTAAACTTGAAGAGTCCCATTTGGGGGTCTGGGGGTAACCAGAGAGCTAGAGGACACTGGCAAGCCAGCTCCTGCTGTGCCCCGGGCCCACTTGGGACAGCTCCAGATGGGTGGTCAGGGCCTGCCCCTTCCTCCTGACTTATACTTTTCCTTTCTTTCTCCGTCAGGAATGTTGAGAAGGAAGGACTCGTGTCTGAACTGATCAATCCCACTGGTGGTGGTATTAGCAGGGGCTCTCACAATCCTGGGAGTACAGCTCAATCTTCTTTCTGAAGGAAACCGGGCTCCTTGTTTTCATCAGAAGATGCAGGCTCGGCCAGCAGGAGACCAGATACCCAGGGTCCTCTGATGGCAGCCAGGGGCCAAAGATATTAGGCAGCGTGCCATTGCTTCTAGATGGTAGATATCCAGAAAAGAGAGGGAGAGAGGCAGGGGGAGGGGGGATTTAAATATAGGATATATATATATGTATGTATGTATATGTGTGTAATATATATATATATATATAAAAAATGATGTGTTTTTATTATTTGGAGCTAGAAGAACAAGCAAAGTCAGTGGCTGTAAAGTCACTTGGGAAATGCAAGTCTGGAAAGCACCTGAAGGGACAGGGGGTGCGTGAGGGGAGAGTAAGGGTCCCAAGTCTTTCCATTCTTACATTGAGTGTCACACACGGTTTTACTTGGGGGAAACAAAAGTTTCTGCTCCTAAAAATGGAGCTGAAAGCCCCTAAACCATCTCCTGTGCTTTTCCCTCTGTGACAGGACTAACAGCCGGGAAAACTCTTCAGGACACAGAGGTGACAGGCCCGATGACTGAATGAATGAATGAAGACAGAGATGGAGGAGAGAAGGAAGCTATCTTTTGTTTGATTGACAGGATGAATGGGAGGGCTACTGACCATCCTCCTCCCAAAATAAAAAATAAAAAAATTTAAGTTTTTTGTTTCTTTTTTGGGTGGGGAGCAAGGATGAGTTGGTTTTTTGATTTCTTCTTTTTTAAGATACCAATGTAACATTCAAGCGGAAATGTCCACTAACCGTTGGAGCTATCAGTGCTCAAGATTGGGACTGAAGATAGAGACCTGGGTGCATTCACGCTCTTGAACTCTACAATGACGTCACTGGACCACAAGCTCATCTGTGGGTGCTGGGCTGGCAGAGTGTGTCCATCTGGAACCTGTGAGTATGACCTCCCTTGGAAAGAGTCCTGGAAGATGTAATCAAGTGACAAGGAGGGAAACTTGACTAGCGTGTGGCCTCATGCAGTGACTATCACCCACGCCACGATGTCAGTTCTGACCCACACAATCCTATATAGGGGTCTCAGGCTGTAAATCTTTATGGGAACAAGCAGGCTCCTCGTGTCCCCTGGGAGTGGCTGCTGGGTTTGAAGGTCAGGAGTCCTAAGAAGGGGAAATGTGCACAGATAGGGCAATGGAGGCAGAGTGGTGTTGCTATTACATCAAGGAATGCCAAAGATGGCCAGACACAGCTAGCCGCTAGGAGAGCATCATGGGCATGTTCTCCAGATGCAACAGGAGCAACGAAACCATGTTGACACCTTGACTTCAGATTTTCAACCTCCAGAACTGTGAGACATTCCTGCTGTTTGCAGCCACTTGGTGTGTGGTCGATTTGTGAGCACAGCCCCAGGAAGGTGAAACAGCAGGCCACGCACTCAGTCCCCTGAAAGTAAGAAAACACCGAGGCTGGGAGGCCTCTAGAGAGAAGGAAGCAAATAAAGAACCAGGTTGAGGAGCCCTGCTCGGGAATGCCCATATTTAGGGAGCAGGAGAAGGAAGAGGATTCCAAAAGGAGACAGGGAAGAAGCCAGAAAGAGGTGCCTTCTGGGCTTAAAGGAGCCCTGGCGCCATAGTGGTTACATGTTGGGCTGATCACTGAAAGGTCGGCAGTTCAAAATCACCAGTTGCTCCAGGGGAGAAGGATGAGGCTTTCTAGCTCCGTAAAGAGTTACAGTCTCAGAAACTCAGGAGGGCACTTGCACCCTGTCCTATAGTCACTATGAGTCTTAATCGACTGGATGGCAGTGAGTTTTTTGGGGTTTAGGAACTCACTGAGGTTTGCCAGATGCCACTGGATGATAAAAGTTAACTTAAACTCTAAGGGGATTTAAGATTAATCCCTTAGTAAGAAAGGGACCCACCCAGCACAACGAATAAGCAGTCACGAACGTCAGTTCTCGAGACAGTCTCTCAGGTAAGCAATTGCCTACACAGAGTTCTCTCCAGGAAATAGTCTAAGCTGCATTCCAGGGTGACATCTGCGGTCCACGTTCATCATGAGGAAGTAAGAAAGAGTTTGGAACCTGCATTCCCAGGGGCCAAATCAAGATGCAACGGAAGCACTTCCCTGTATATTTTTATTTTTCAGAACCAGAAGAGCTCAGCATTTTCGGTCTCGATGGAACATATTAAAGAGTGACAGTGTCTATGACACCAATGTAGAAAAGCTCTTTGGGGGAAAAAATGCCAATGTCACTCAGGAAGTGGTTCTGGAAAAAAAATGCTGAGAAGTCTCTCTGGTCCCTATTTTGATGCTCGGTGCACAAACACTCACCCGGTGGCTGCCTGAATTGGTTCTTGAGATCTGCTGGGATGATCTGTGAATCTGTCTGATGGCGGCACCACCCTCATCTCCTGGCCTCCTCAAGTCACTGCATAGACAACAACAACCACAAACCCCACTTCCTTGGGGTCCCTCCCAACTTACGGTACCCCATGTGCTATAGACCACATCGGCCGGATGGTCTTCT